AATCTAACTAATTTGAACCTATGTGTTCTGTAAATAATGCATACAAAAACATTTTTATTATGTTGAAAAAAAATGACAAAACATCCAAGTTAACTAATAGAAAACATTCATGGAAAAAAATGCAGGAGAGAGAGAGAGAGAGAGAGAAATTATCGCTTTGCGGACAAAGTACAAGCATGCACTTTCTGAAGATAGCACTGGCCAATAATTAAAAGTAAACAATTTTCTGATAAGCAACATTTGTCCAGGATCCCCTAATTAAGATTACACTAGCGGTCTATCATCCGTCGACAGTCGATTAAATATTTGAAAACATCGATCTGCGAGGTGTTTCAAAAGGAAGAGGTGGGAATTGTCAATATGCCGCCTCGATGGAACTTGAGCCCGATTTTATTTGTACTTTGCGGGCAAGAAGGGTTCCGGGTAAACAGAAAGTTAGACTTAATCTTCGAGGTGATTAAGAAGTTGGGTAACACAATTGTCGTCAAAATTTAAACTCAAAATCGATCACGCTTTGTAAAATTATATTTAATTTATTCAACATATAAAGTTAAATAAACATCAGAACCTACTTTTTGCTTTAAATCATTTCAAATTTGCTTGAGTCGCCCACGTAGTGCAGAGATAGGAGTTTGCTCAAAAGTCGAGAAAAGTGGCTGAAAGAGCGCAGGTTAGAATTCCAATGATGAAATCGTATACTGAAAGTTCATATTCATGCTTATTTTTTTTAAAGGAATATATATTGCTTATTCATTTAGATGACGTTTAATTTCAGTGGCCTTGTCACAGAGCCCATATGTTACTTGAACAATCATCAGTGCTAGTAATGCTTCCGGGACAAACATCGTTGCTGATTATACTTCGGGAATAGATATCAATGGTGGTCATGCTACCGGAACAAGCAAAAATGCTGGTTTTGCGACCCAACTGATATCAATGCTTCCGGAACAATTACATATCAATAATGTTAATGCTACCAGAACAAGCATCATAAATGCTCATTTTGCAGCCATGCAAACAGATATTAATGATGGCATACTATGCCGGAATAAGCATCCAGTCTGATGCGAAACATCAAGGCTGGCTATTCGCCAGAATAAAGCCAGAATAAAGCAACAATGCTGGAAATGCTTTCAGAACAAAATTAAATAAATGCTGTTTCTAAGATGCTTATTCTGCTGCTTGAATAAGCATCAATGCTGGTTTTGCATCCGTAACAAAACCAATGCTCCTTTTGCTACCGGAAGAATTATAAATGGCATTGTTATACAGCCAATATTAATACGCATTATAGGATTAAACATTGTTTTACATATATTATAATATGTTTATAACATAACCTTTCAATAAGTCACAACGCTTTTGTATACAAATATGAATAACTGCATTATTTGAATTTAATTAAGTCGATTATATTGATTTTAAACGTTTTTACTTATTGAATGTTGATGACCGTTTAATGACACTTATGTTACAACTTAAGAGTTACTCTTAAGGTACCTTTGCTAGTCTACAATGTAAAATTAACTCTTTTTCCAATAGAAGAAACCCATTTTGGAACTTAAATTCATTTATACTTGACTGAAGTTTATTGATATTTGAATGTAAATTCTTTCTTTAGAATTATGTGTGCATAGAATCTAAGGGATGTAAGGTTCCATTTAAATAAAAATTCACAATATAGAGTCTGCTATTGAAATGAAATCGTCACATTCTGAAAGAACAAGCCGTTTATTCTACATACAACATCTTGACGGCCTGCACCTGACGGTACAAGTAATTTAAAAACAAGAGGCCCAAGGGTCATAACGCTCATCTGAGTAGCCCAGCTATTCTTCATCAGATTTTCCCTTGTAATATCTAAAGTGGCACCACACTACATGAGGGTGATTATTCGAACATTTTTGTCTTTTATTGATTATCTCCCCTTTTAAGAGGGCATGGTCCTTTACTTGAACAATTTTTAAAACTATTCTTCACCCAGCGATGCCAAGTATAGATAAGATTAAAATGGCCTGGTAATTTTTGAGAAACCATTGAAAAAGTTAAGACGGACAGACGACGGACGACTGGTGATCAGAAAAGCTCTCTTGAGCTTTCAACTTAAGTGAGCTAAAAAGATAGATCAAGGGATACAGAATGTTTTCAAAAATACATCTCTTTTGAATATCTGTTTTGTACGTTTTTAAAGATCGTTGAAACGGATGATGAAACATTAGAATAAAAGATAAATCCGGAAACTTTTATCATAAATGTTTGATGTGTGTGTATTTGTTTTTCAAAATTCCTATGTATTGATCAATAGCCATTTCAGCTGCTATTGCATTATTGATAAATCTAGTGTGATATATCACTTCAAAGATGGTTTGTTCATGAGTTTAAAACATTAAATATGCATTTTACTCATTTACTAAATCGGTTTTTGTCTATATCTGTATACAAACGGTAATGTTAATTATTAAAAAGATACTACCAATTTCAACTTAACTGAAAATAAATGGATTGCACACACCGTATGTACAGTGATGTAAGCTTGTAATCGTTTCATCGTTTAAATTGCATCTATGGTATGCATCTGATACATTTCATGCATGCCTTTTGAAGAATTCATCAAGGGTTCGTTTAATAAAAATTGTAATTGGTAATAAACATGTACGTAATCTTAAATTAACCGATATCCCAAATGGGTCCTCAATTTTATAATATATACACGAAACAGACCATAACAATCCATGTTGAGACATTCGTTCTGCATTTGATCTCAAGTCGCAAAAGCAAAATCAGCGCATCCGTATTTTTCCAACAGCTTTGGGAAATCATTTTTATTATAAAATCCTCCTGCAATACCGTCTGGGGTCATAACGTCTTTTGGAATTGTGGATTGAACTCTGAATTATAATGTTTTTAACCCAAGTGATGAGTACTTTTATATTTGAAATAACTGCGTGTTTATATGTGTTAACTTCCTATAATAGGGCGCAGTTGTTTAATAGTTCATTTTTTATTTACTTAAAGAGGGTGATTTACTTATACAAAAGGCATGAAATGTCACATTTATAAAATGTCATAAAAACCTAGGTATACTCAATAACTTTAATCTATTCATATAGATTTATCAGTAAAGAAGAGGTGAAATACTCTGTCGAAGTTAAATGACTTTTTAATCACATTTCAATTTTATATAACACTGCGTTTCCTGGGCTACTTTTACTCCTTCTTAGCATTTTAATGCACTTTTACCAAACATTTAATTAAGACCTTTTATATGGGCAGCGGAAAGGGCAAAAATTACCATAATGAGAAAACAAACAATTATTTTAATTTTAATGACCATAAAACTTTACAAATTATATACTATGCATAATCAACAGACCTTTTTAAAAATACATTAAAGCAAAACCAACGACCACGTACGTAACAAACATATATGAATGCAAAACCAACAATCATCTTTGCAGAACAAACGTATAAAAAAACAAGACAAACGAAAAAAATTTTTTCATAAATGTTCCCCACATGTGTGTGTATTTTTTTTTCAAAATTTCTTTATTGATCAATAGCCATTTCACACTGCTAGGCACTTTTCTGTTAAATATATTGTGATATAAAAATTCTAACAAATTTGCGTATTTATTACTGAATCAGCAGTATAAAACATTAAAATGCATTTTACTCATATTACTGAAAAAAAGGATCGGTGTTTTGTCTATATCTGCAAAAACACAAACGGTAATGTTTTTATTAAAAAGATAACTACCAATTTATACATATAATTTGAAAATAAATGGATTGCACACACCGTATGTACAGTGATGTAAGCTTGTAATGTTTCATCGTTTAAATTGCATCTATGGTATGCATCTGATACATTTAAAATTTGCCTTTTGAAGAATTAAAAATTTCAAGGGAAAGAAAAGAATTTTTAATAAAAATTGTAATTGGTAATAAACATGTACGTAATGTTAAATTAATTGGATATCCCAAATTCCTTAAATATTACAAGAATTTTATAACATATACAGTGACAACATGTGACAGGCACACACAACATCCAAATTTAAGAGTAACAAAAATTCGTTCTGCATTTGATCTCAAGTCGCAAAAGCAAAATCAGCACACACACCGTATTTTTTCCAACAGCTTTGGGAAATCTTTTTTTCAAAAAATCCTCCTGCAATACCATTTTCTGGGGTCATAACGTCTATTTTTTGAAAATTTTGATAAAAATTGTGGATATGAATTTTTATGAATTATAATGTTTTTAACCCAAGTGATGAAATACTTTTATATTTGAAATAACTATCAATATTTTTTACATGTGTTAACTTTTTAATAACTTTTAGGAAATAAGGTTGTTTAATATATTTTTTTATTTAATATATAAGAGGGTGATTTACAGAAAATATTATACAAAAGGCGTTTTTGGTTTTCACATTTATAAAATGTAACAAAAAACCTTTTTAGGTATACTGATTCAGTAATAATGTTTTAACATATCATTGAATTCATTTAAAAAGAAAATGTTATCGAGGAGTGTGAAGAGGTGACCAAAAAAAAAATACTCGGGAGCCGGGTGTCGAAGTTAAATGACTTTTTAATCACATTTCAATTTTATATATATACTGCGTTTCCTGGTTTTGCTATTGTATACTCGAAAAGGTCTGTTGATTAGCATATATTAATGCAGTTTTTAACAAACATTTAATTAAGACCTTTTAAACATTTATATATATTTATTAATGAAATCAGTACAGAGCGTTTACAACATGCACCCAAAACAAACGCCGATGCTGTCAGGCAATCATTTCTCCCGACCTTTTTGTACTTTCAAATGTTTGTAAATATTGTACAAAAATAAATTATGATTAATAGTTGGAATATTTTATTTTCTTCCCAAAAAAACCCTTAAATAAATGATAAAACACTTTCAATTTACAACAGGCGCCAAAAAATGTATAGCAGCAGAAGGCAGGTACTCGTCTTGACCTTTTTGCACTTACCTGAAATTCCAGACCGTAATTTTCTCTCAGATATTCTTTGATTTTGGGGTATACATTTTCCATGAGGGAATTCCTCTCTATGGTCGTGTCTTAAAAAAAATCAACATATTGTAAAATTTAATAAAATTACAGTAATGTACATGTATACAAAAACTACACTAGTGTATTCAGAAGTTAAGAAAAAGAAAGAACGAAAAAGTTCTTTCAATTCAAAACTATTTAAGGTGTTTGGGATTTACACTGTTACATACTGAAAAAGAAACCTAAGGAAAAAGTTTTTCATGCTAAAGATGACTTTTTTATGTTAAAAGTGTTGTAATTACTTATTAGTTTGTCCGCCTGTCTGTATACGTGACTTCTAAATAACAATTTTGATAAGATTATCTTAAGGTGGCTGTCTTTTGTAAGAAACTAAACACCCTTCCCATAAGAATTAATATTGACTGTAGCCAGGATTGTATTAATCTTTACAAGAATGGTGAAAATCTTAACGAAAGTTTGCTGACTCTTAGCACTTGGCATGGTGCATTCAAAGCTATCCTGACTGCAAAACATTTAGGTGATTAAGAATCAGCGAAGAACATGTCGCTTTTGATTAATCTTCTGTCATTAAACGTTAAATCATTAACTTTAAAGTCTTTTTAGCATGTACACAAAAGATTAAATATTATTTCAACCCATCACTTTCCATAATAAATAAATGCCACTTAAATGCATCGTTCCAAAAACTTAAGTGGAGTGAAATTTAAAATACTCAAAATGTTCACTTGTAATGGAGCTATATAGACTCGATATCAAGGTGTTTTTTCACAATATTTAGAGTTTAATCTATTATATCTCAGTTGCCTCTAGATGTCCAATAAAGCACTCAGATAAAACAAATTTGTTAAAATATATAAACATTTAGTTTTTTTTATTTTGACAAATTTTACCATGAGCGCCACTTAAAAGTAATGTGCAAACTTAATTAGCCCTTATACCTTGAGTGAATTCCAAACCTAAATGTAACTAAGGAAATTCGAAATGTGTTTGCCTGAAAAAAGTAGGCCTTAAATCGTGTTAATCTGTTCTTCTGCCTTGAAATCATACATACATGTACAAGTATAATATGTAGCAGGCTTCTAAGACTAAGAATTCGATTTTGCAAATATACGAGAATTATACCCCCCCCCCCAACCCAACCCATTAAATGGCCTTCACCTCAAAGTTTACTTCTGATGATCTTTCCCCACTTTCCATCATTATTTTTTCTTGTGGTGGTCAAGAGATTCTAGTTTGGAAATGTCTTCCCAAACTGAAAATTTATGCCCCCCCCCCTTCAAACAGAATTGTTTCTTACAATTAAGTCTTTCCCTACTGAACAAAATACACTTCATTCATATGTAAAACAACAATTTCTATTAAATATAGAATTAAGTAAAATCTCAAACATGTATTGTATTTAAAGGAAAAAATAAAAAGAAATAATTTTGAAAGACAAGCTTCTATCAAATCAGAACTTTCCAACATAGCGAAGAAGAACATGATGTGATAAAAAATCAAGACCAACTCAAAAAACAGATACAGGGTTTTGTCAAATTGATAACAATTTATCATATGGGAATATCTAAATGGTTTCGTGGCACGCATCACAGCAAACAAAAAGTCGACCTTCGTACACACAACAATGTATTTTTTCGTAATTTATTACTTATTTACTTCAAAATTTCATTTAAAATATATCAGAAAGTTTATTTATGTTGCTCATAAAGCAAATTTATAGCTTCGAGTTATTGATTTTTTTCATGCATGAAAATTCATTTGTACAAAGTACAAATAGGGGCCTTTAAAAATTCTAAAGTGGGCAAAAATGCAAGCAAATTCCGTGGACGGCAAATTTCAAAGCAAATGTGCTCTACAGAGTTTCTGGAGATATTTTGTTGCTGATAGATTCAATGGTTGACTAAAAAAAATTACTCTTAAATTTATTTATTCAGTTATTTATTGATTGGTTGGCTAAATGATTATATCAGACTAAATGATAACAAAATATATATATTGATTAAATCACATGCTTCATGGTTGATATTTAGATAAACTGACTGAATTTATTATAGGGAAAATAGCAGGGGGAAAAGTTTGAACCATTTGCTTAGTTTTTTAATTGATTGAATGTAACCCCACCCCACCCCCACAAGTACATGTATCTAGTCATTTAAATGGAACTTTGCAACAAGATTAACGAAGCATTTCAAAGTATCCACTATAAATGTACATAGAGTATTTGAACATCGATGTCACTAGCAGTTGCAATCGGGGGGGGGGGGGGGGGGGGGGGGGGTCGGCACTGGGAAACCTGACCTTAATGAACACCATCAAACATTCTTTTATTTTGAGCCTTTTAGTGAGACCAATATTCTCACAGTCCATTCATTTAATAACAAGGGTCAAATTTGAGGATTTATTGTGTAATTTATTGTAACAAAATGCCGTAATCAAGAATAATGCATTTCACATGGCCTGAAGAGGTGTGAATTGGCCTTTTTAAAAAACGTATTAGTCTGCATAAGGAGCGAATCATTTATTTATTGAATTTCTGACAAAGTCGATTCAAAAGAACTTCCGGTATGGGGTAATCAAAAATGAGTTAATTCAGTATGGCGTCATAAGTATGGCCTATGTGTATGCAAAACGTTTGAACGCAGTATTAAAGCTCACTCGTTTGAGTGCAAAAGCCGAAGTACAGCACCCACACACGAGCTTTATGTCTAAATTATTTTAAGCCAGGTCGTATTATATTCTGTATTCGCACTTTGTAGTCTATAGGCCATAAAATGCTTTCACTCCCACGTGTATAAGCAATATTCTTGAAAATACATCCTTTCATAAAATTAACAACAACAACAACAAAATAATATAAAAGTTAGAATTTAAGCAGAAAAGAGTGTTTGCTGAGTGAAAAAGTCAACAAAATTTAATTAGTTAAATATCCACAATGAAGTACTTAATAAATCAAATATACTTTTACAGTTTACAATATTTTCATCATAAATACCTTAATAATTAATTTTATTATCACATAATTTAGCGTTTATCATTAGCCTAAACATAGATTTTCTTGTATGTTTTCTATTTTATACAAATAAAATTCTCGTTTATCAGACTTTTGAACCTGTCAGCCATGTAAAATAAACGAAAAATGGGTTCATTTTATCAACTGTTACACACGTTTTTACCAAATTTAGGTCAACAATGACAGTTGATTAAAGGGTGTACTTGTTCCCGATGTAAAGTCATTGAAAATGGGGAAACACGCCCTTGTGAGGGTCTTTGATTTTGTGATAAAGAGTGTCATTCCTCTAACAAATCGTTATCTACAGGGCAACAAAACGATAAAGATGACACCCCGCAGTGAAAATACGGCCATATACCGAGAATTTACAGAGGAACCGGAAATATTACGTCATACAGGAAGTAGTGATATCTTATCAAGGGGACGTAACTGTTATCTATCTGTTCAAGACAAAAAACAGTGCATTTGAAAAATTCACGTAGGTTAAAAACTTTCCTTCATCATGTTCATAAGATATTAATTTTCCCAAAAGAATATGAAAGTTTTTACACAGACTTATAGAGTTATAAAAATCTCAGCTACGTAATGCAAGGACTGGTGTGTGTAGAGGGGGCCCAGAACCCCTTTTGTGTCCAATATATACATATTAAGATTTAATAAATCAATTCTTTTTGGTGTGGCTGTTGGTCCTTATCCCGACTCCAAACATACCCTCCCATTTTCAAGATTCTTTGATCCGCCACTTGTAAGAGAGAGGGAGAGAAGGGGAAGAGGGAGCTTAAAGGATGAGGATTTACAAAGTGTCCATGAATGTCTTACCTGTGAAAGTTGAACTTGTGAAAATACGGACGATCTTGGAACTGAGAGGTGGCAGGTCCTCCATTTTCCCGGTTAGAACTCTCCATAATTTATCTTCTTCTTCAGTGTTCACTTCCACCCCAACCTCCGACCCGGTTCCGTCTGATCCCTCCATGATTGGTTTCGTAATTTACTCACTCCCCTCAATTGAAATCACTGAAGACATATTTTTGGGAAACCGTCACCAATGTTTAAATCCTTCCGATTTGCTTTGTAAACAGACGTCGTAACATCCGATATGATTATAGATTATCAAAATTCGATTGGTGAAATTGCCTCCAAACTTTTTTTTTAAATAACACCAATTACAGAATTCGGTGTACGAATTTAAAACCCAGCAGGTCTAAACGACACCATGAGCCAATCAGGTATAATTGCACAATAAACAGTGAAACGAAGACTAAACACAGTGGCAGTGAAAATGAACTTTTCCCGATGACATAAAAACAGTTGAACTGTTCATAAGAATCCGAAACACGGGATGTAAAATGGTCTATCCCGTTTTTCGTAGTTTCTCGGGGATGTTGGAAAAAGTCCGTGCTCTGTGTCACTTGCTCCTTTTCACCTGAAGGAAACAAAGCAAAGAGGGAAATCCGTTATTAGTTGGTTTCTACCGATTAGTGGACTATTGTGAGATTTGCTAATCTAATTTAAACAAAATAAAATTTGCCGGTCGGCCTTAGATCAATGCAATGCTTTAAATGTGTAGGGTCAGTCTTAAATCGAACAGCCTTGTATAACTACTTAATATACACACACCTATATTTTGTTAACTTTTGTGGAACGGCGTTGTTAGTAAACGTTGTTTGAATTAAATGACTTAGTTAGTTTACTTCTTCCTTTAAAGCTAAATGTGGTACCCCCAAAATCTGTGTGATTTTTAAGGTATAAATCAGTGTATATGTCACTTTTAAATTTTATTTTTAAAACTTTGAATATATGAATTTAAATTCATTATAATTTAATCTTTTAATTTTTCAGTTATGGAATCTAAATTTTTAGAATTTTCAATATATATATTATACAGTATATATCTCGTTTTACTTTGTCCACAATTACAAAAAAAAAAGGTTTCTTTTATGAATCATAATAGATTATAATGATTTAAAGAAATATTTCAAAATAAAAATGATCTGTTATTTTTACACTTCAACTGAATTCCATTTAAAAATATAGCACTTACATTTAGAACAATATATTTTCCCTTTTGTCATGCATATAATTCACATTACAGGCACAATTATTCATTTAACTATTTATAATCTAGCACCTGCGGCCTTTTTTTCCATGTTCGTTCATGTAATTTTTTTTATTTTGTACATTGATACACATAAGCGCACATAAACATACCATTCCAGTTTTGAAAATAGTAAATTCCCATGTCATATTATCCAGGATTTAGATATCATCGCTGCTGATAAATAAACCCAAAGATAAATTATTTAAACTCCAACCAGCCATAAGGGCAAATCAAATGGGAAAAAAGTAGCTTGAATTGTGTTTTTAAATTATACCATGGATCGAATAAAAAAATCAATTTTTGTAAATTTTTTGCTGACTTACTGATCATAGCGGTGTAGCAAACATCATATCTATACACATAAACTTGACTAAAGGGGACTGATTTTTAAAGACTAAATCCCATTCCCTTAAAACCAGGGTATATCGATAAAGGAATTTAAATGGAACTGAGCGAGGAAAAGTCGACATTGAAAAATAAATGGCATATCGCACTTACCTCAAATTACGATATCAATTGAAATTAATTCCTTCTTTTCATTTCGGTAAATCTCTACCGAGGTCTATTATTAGGAGCTATTTAAATTTTTTCTTTCGTTCTTTTTTCTCCCCTTTTCTCTCTCTCCCCCGTCTTTGGTTCGTGCTTTCTCGTTTCCAATGTCCCGATGAAGGTTTCTCGTGTCGCTATCGCTCCTTCGTTGGAGACGGTCTATACGGCCGATCGAATTTTACCCATTGACGGAAGCCGCACAAAAAGATCAATATGCTTTAAAACTGTTTTCTACAATTACGGGTAACATTTAATAAGAGACTGGCCGATTCATGCAGAGAAATATTTCAGATAATTATGTCTATTAGATAATAACGGGATCCGTTTATTGGAGAGAGAGAGGGTGTTTGTGAGAGAGAGGGAGAGAGAGAGAGAGAATCATAATGATAAACAGTGTAATTTATAAAAAGTGTATCCTAAACATTTTTTAAGCTTTGTGTGGAAGGTAATTAAGAATCATTTCGTAAAAATTATTTTAAACCTCATCTTTCTATATTTCCGTTTTTCACCAGACCCCCTCCCCTCCTTGTGATAGATATTATGTCCCAACCCTACCCCCGGGGAGTCATGATTTCAACAAATTAGAATCTCCACTACCCCAGGATGCTTCCACAAAATTTTCAGCTTTTGTGGCCCAGTGGTTCTTGAGAAGGAATTTTAAGATTTTTTTTCCCTATATACATGTACATGTATTTCTCTGTAAAACTTGGATTCCCTGTTGTGGACAATTTAGAATCTACACTATCCTACATGTAGGATGCTACCACATAAGTTTCAGCTTTTCTGGCCCAGTGGTTTTTAAGAAGATGTTTAAAGATTTTTCCCTATATACTTTAAGTTGAATTCCCTATTATGGCCCAACCCTACCCCGAGGATCATGATTGTATAGTTACACACCTACCTACTTGGAGTATAAACGTCATCTTAGTTTGAATCAATTATGTTGTAATAACAAGAAGCTCATAGGCCACACCGCTCACCTGAGAACTGTGACCGGGAAAAAGGCAAAAATTACTTCAGAATTGTGAAGCTACAGTAGTCCAGACCTTACCCTAAAAGGAAGGGTGGGGGCATGATTTGAACAAGCTTGAGTTGAATCTACAATATGATTAAGGATGCTTACATAATTTGACTAACTGTGGCTCTTTTTTTATCCGTTTGGACTTTAATTGTGGCCCCATCCTACCCCTGGAGGTCTTGCATTGAGCAAGTCTGAATCTACACTTACTGAACATAGCGTTACAATTTTGAGAAGAGGATTTTTAAAACAATCTCTTTGTATTTTATTGTATATTATAACCCTGCTCATCCATTGTGTCACCACCCTACCCCTGGATGTCATACTTTGAACTACACTTGCTTAGGATACTTCCGCATAGATAATAAGCAATCATGGCTCTACAATCTTGAAAAGAAAATTTTTTTTTCCCTTGGGTTATAAATATTTTATTTTTATTTTGGTTATTTTCAAACTTATGACACATTAATAATAAGCAATCATGGCTTTACTGTTTTTGCCTAAAAGATTTTTTCCTATATACTGGGTTAAAAATATTTTATTTTTATGTACATGTACACTTATGCAATTCAATCTATTTTCAAACTTAAACATGAATTCAACGCTGTGTTTCATATCCAAAATTTTACATTGCATTTCCGATTTTTGTTTTCATTTCCGACATTTTGTTTTCGTTGCCGACATTTATTTACATACAATTTTGGATCTTTTCCTATAATTTTATAAATTTACAAGATAAAAATTAATTATAATATTTCATATAAAAATAACACTCATAATAATTCAAAATTTATGAATAAAAATTATTTTATTTAAATCACTAAGCCTTATAAAAAGTCTTGCATGAGTTGAAAGGGCATGTATTTATTTGTTCCCCAAATTCAATGCTCACTGAATTGAATCACAATTATTTTGGATATGAATGAAAAATCTTAAATCTTATTTTCATATTTGCTGTAGACTTTTTCATTAATGACGGTCGGATACGAAATCTAAAAATGCCTGAAATCAAAACTACAAAATGGATGAAAAGTTGTATGTTTAAAAAACGAAAATAAAATGCAGCCGAATTCTAAAGTAAAGAAAGATAAAAAATCGAGATCGCATCCACTAATCAGAGTGTGTTGCGTAGCGGGAACGACACCTCTGAGAAAGAGAAAGGTGCAAATTGAAGAACATTAACTCATATTTTTTAAACGAAGTGAAATGAGTTATTGTTCTTTCTTTGAATTTTTTTCTTGCTTCTATTTTATATTTTACAGTATTTAAATTAATTGGCAAGAGAGAGAGAGAGAGAGAGAGAGCTAGAGAGAGAGAGAGAGAGATCTTTGTTCTTTTCAACTTGTTTTGTTGAAATTTAAGTATTAGTGTTTGTAAGTATCAGTTTCCGAAAAAGACGTAATAATGTACTACACACCAGACTTCGACATAACTGTGCATTAAATATTGATCTTTATAGGTGTAACATTATATCAAGTCCATCATGTTTTTGTGGAAAAGTAGAAGACACTCACCATTATTTTTTCTCTTGTCCTAACTATACTGAGGCCAGGAAAGAATTTTTCGACAAGTTTCTGAGATTCGATAAGGTTCACATTGTTGACACCCATACGTTACTATGGGGCGATTCTACTTTAAGTGCTGCTGAAAATGAATATCTTTTTTCCATTGTACATTCATATATTCAGCAGTCTGGCAGATTTAAATGATATTTTGTACATGATTTTGTATAGCATTAGTACATCTCACACGTCCTTGCAGTTTATTATTAATCATGTTGTGAATTTATCAATATTTTTCTAAAACTATGTAACACATATGTAGATTAAACTTTATAAACTTTCCATGTAGGGAGAGGGCGAAATAAGTTTTGAGAACTTGTTCCCAATCCCATTGTATATGTATATTGCAATAAAATATGTTCAATTCAGTGTTTGCCAGTATAAGCATATAATTCTCGCATCGTACAGCGTGCAAATCGTTTCATTATTATGTACTTCCTAAATCTTTTAAAAGTGTCTCGATCATATAATATTTTAACATGCATTTCACATTCAATTTTTAATGTTGTAAAATTATTCGGTGCATGAGAGAAATGCTATGATCCCATATTGTGGGCCTATACTCGCTTCAAGAGTCACAATTTGAAAAATTTAGATTCTACACTTTCACAAAAAGTTAAGCTTCCATAAAATAACTTTTATCTTATGTCATAATGGTTCTTGAGACCATTTGTAGCCCTGCCCTAACCCCAGGGGTCATGATCTGAACAATATACACTCTCAAGAAGCTTTCACGTAAATTTCCCCCACTTTCTGGCTCAAAGGCTCTTGAGAATATATCCAGAGTTCTTTCTTCTAATTTCAACTATTCTTGCCAAGTGTTCTTTGGAAGAAGTTTTTATAATTACCCACTCTTGTAAATTTTACATTTTCATGAAAACCTGTGTCTCTCCCCTCCCCCGAGATGTGAGATTTGTCTTTGTTTAGGCTCTAGGCAATTTAGAAGGGCAAAAACTATGCTCTGTCTTTGGTAAATCTGACTCAGTGCAGTTTTTTTTTTTTGAGAAGTCGAAAATGTAAGTTTCACAGAACTTGAACAGGCTGCACCGGTGATCAAAAAAGCTACGCCGTTAAAGCAGTTAGCTTCTGTTTATTCACATTACGCTAGGTAATTAATCAATATATAGCTGTAACGTTAAATTAGTTGAGATTTGTAAGCAATTAAATGTTAATTTGGTTGTTTGTTTGGAAATAATTTTGCTGTTGTTGCCAAAAATTAATAATCCACTATGATTGATTTTTGGTACATGTGTTATAGCTGCAACCTCTTAGTTGTAGAAGACAAGAAGCTAAAATTTAAAAAAATGTTCAAACTTCATGATAATTTAGTGCCAGAATACTTCATGGACATACTTCCAGATATGCACTGTAATACATCTATCTACCCTACAAGAAACCCTAACAAAAAACTATTGTTAACTATAGAATTTCTTTGTCAAGAGAATTACTCATGTATTTTCTAATATCCAAATACTGTGGCGTATTGTATTTTACTTGTATCATGGCTGCGGTGTTTTTCCTTTGAAGTCAAGTGTACAATAACTGGAGATACACCGATGGGCGGAGCCAACCAAAACTGTGCCGTGTAAATAAATTATTGAACACCAAGGCGACTTCATCATTATACCCCCCCGCTTGAAAAGCGGGAGGGTATATAGTAATCGGTATTTCCGTCCGTCTGTACGTCTGTCCGTCCGTCCGTCTGTTACGCTTTGGGGTACCCATCTCTTATCCGCAACTCCTCTCATACCACTGAAGGAAATTTAATGAAACTTTCACAGAATCTTTATTACATATTGCCATTGTGCACCTCCTATTTTACTTTTTGATCTGACATATATTTTGGATTTTCCAGAGCAAAACATGGATACTGCCAATATATTCATATGGGAGGCGGGGGGTATCATTTAGTGAGCTCATTGCTCACAGTACCTCTAGTTTTAAATTACATGTATATTGAATCTGAATTAGTTACAGAATAAATGGGCTTTGTAATATACAAATGCAAAATTTCTGCAAGTGAAATAAAAGTCTTTCACATAAATTACAGTACGTATATATCCCAAAGTGAACTACAAAATGATTTGTATCATGGCTGCGGTGTTTTTCCTTTGAAGTCAAGTGTACTATAACTGGAGATACACCGATGGGCGTATCCAGAAAAAACTGTGCCGTGTATATGGGCGGAGCCAGCAAAAACTGTGCCGTGTAAATAAATTATTGAACACCAAGGCGATTTCATCATTTTAAATAACATGTATATTGAATCTAAATTACAGAATGAATGGGCTTTGTAATATACAAATGCAAAAATTCTGCAAGCGAAATAAAAGTCTTTCACATAAATTACATGCAGTACGTATATATCCCAAACTATGAAATGATGTTACGGAGCTCTTCAAATATTCAATCCACAGCAACGCGAAATCAATTCTTGACATGAATTCCACACAGAAATATATTAAAATATCCCACCTATTGTAATATAGGGCTTAGGCTGTACTGCATCCACAGATGAAGAGTAATTGACCCTGACACAGCGTTTTCGTGAATACGACAGCTTTCGAATATG